TTGGGTGGGGCAGCAGAGTTTTAGCAAGTCATGCAGGTAACACCCTCTGAGTGCTCACTGTTCTTCTACAGCAACAACACACTGAACATTTTAACTTCTGACAAATCTCACTGTTCAGGTTATCAATTCTGAGGGTCTCGAGCAGTACACAGTGTTGATGATGACAGCTAACACATACTGAATGCCTACCAAGTATCAACACTTTGTATTGCTCATCCTCTGAATTATGCTGTATTTTTTTTTGCCTCATATTTTATAGACGAAGAAGCTAAGACAGAAAATTAAATGAAACCAAGTATTTATTAAACATCACAGCCTCCAAAAGCACATTATCTTTTTTATCATCAGATGCCACTTCATTCTCATATTTTCCTTACTTTGATTCTATGCCAGTATCTTTATGGAACAAGCAGCATAGCACAGTGGCTAAGTGAGCAGCAATTAGGGCACTATTCAGGTCTAACTTTGGCTGTGTATCCTGAGAGAAGATAAGAGAATCAGCATATAATGTAAGGATTACATAATTACTATCTAAAGAGAGCTTAGGACTCTATCTGGCCTACAGTAATCACTACGTAAATTTCTACAAAAATACACAATATTTCAGTTTTATATATTCATATTTATTTATTAATTTATTTTTTATTATAATTTATTCACTTTGTATCCCAGCTGTAGCCCCTTCCCTCATTCCCTTCCAATATCACCCTCCCTTCCTTTTCTCCTACCTTGCCCCTCCCTGAGTCCACTGATAGGGGAGGTCCTTCTCCCCTTCCATCTGATCCTAGCCTATCAGGTCTCATCAGGAGTAGCTTCACTATCTTTTTCTGTGGCCTACTAAGGCTGCTACCCACTCAGGGGGAGGAGATCAAAGAGCCAACCACTGAGTTCATGTCATAGACATGACATGTCATAGACAGCCCCTGTTCCCCTTACTAGTGAATCCTTACTTGGACACTGAGCTGCCATGGGCTACATTGGTGCAGGGGTTCTAGGTTATCTCCATGCATGGCCCTTGGTTAGAGTACCAGTCTCAGAAAAGAACCCTGGGCCCAGAATTTTTGGTTCTGTAGCTCTCCTTGTGGAGTTCCTATGCCCTCTAGGTCTTTCTATCTCCCCTTCTTTCATAAGATTCCCTGCACTCTGCCCAAAGTTTGACTCTGAGCCTCAGCATCTGCTTTGATTCACTGCTGGGTAGAGTCTTTTAGAGGCCTCTGTGGTAGGCTCCTGGCCTGTTTCCTGTTTTCTCCCTCTTCTGATTTCCATCCAGTTTGCCTTTGTGAATGAGGGTTGATCATCTTACCCAGGGTCGTCCTCCTTGCTTAGCTTCTTTAGGTGTACAGGCTTTAGTATGTTTATCCTATATTATATGGCAAATATCCACTTATACGTGAGAATATACCATGTGTGTCTTTCTCCTTCTGGGATACCTCACTCAGGATGATCTTTTCTAGTAGAAAAAGTGGGGAAGAGCCTTAAACTCATTGGCACAGGAGACAACTTCCTGAACAGAACACCAACAGCACAGTCTCTAAGATCAACAATCAATAAATGGGACCTCATGAAACTGAAAAGCTTCTGTAAAGCAAAGGACACTGTCATTAGAACAAAATGACAGCCTACAGATTGGGAAAGGATCTTCACCAACCCTGTATCTGACAGAGGGCTAATATCCAGAATATATAAAGAACTGAAGAAGTTAAACACGAACAAATCAAGTAATCCAATTAAAAAGTGGGAGCTAAAAGACAATTCTCTGTAGAGGAATATCAAATTGCAGAGAAACACTTAAAAAAATGCTCAACATCCTTTGTCATTAGGGAAATGCAAATCAAAACGACCCTGAGATTTCATACCTTACACCCATCAGAATGGCTAAGATCAAAAACTCAAGTGACAACACAGGCTGGACAGAATGTGGAGAAAGGGTAACTCTCCTCCATTGTTGGTGGTGATGTAAAACCACTTTGGAAATCAATCTGGCACTTTCTCAGACAATCAGCAATAGTGCTTCCTCAAGATCCAGCTATACCACTCCTAGGCATATATCAAAAAAATGCTCAAGTACACAATAAGGACATTTGTTCAACTATGTTTGTAGCAGCTTTATTCGTAATAGCCAGAATCTGGAAACAACCCAGATATCCCTCAACTGAGGAATGAATACAGAAATTGTGGTACATTTACACAATAGGGAAGGAGGGTGATATTGGGTGGGGATGAGAGAGAGGGATATAGTCGAGATAGAGAGTGAATAAACTGTCATTAATAAAAATAAAGAAAAGAGGATGATGAAATCATCACAAATGTTGACACTCTGACTCCTCCATCTTAACACAATAAGAATGCAAATTAAGTAACTGAAGGAAAAAAAAAATCCCAGCTATACCACTCCTAGCTGTATATCAAAAATATACTCAAGTATAGAAAAAGGACATTTGCTCAACCATGTTCATAACAGCTTTATTCTTAATAGCAATAACCTGGAAACAAACCAGATGCCCCTCAACTGAAGAATGGATACAGAATTTGTGGGACATTTACAAAATGGAATACTACTAAGCAATTAAAAACAAGGAAATCAGGAAATTTGCAGGCAAATGGTAGGATCTAGAAAAGATCATCCTGAGTGAGGTATCCCAGAAGGAGAAAGACACACATGGTATATTCTCACGTATAAGTGGATATTTGCCATATAATATAGGATAAACATACTAAAGCCTGTACACCTAAAGAAGCTAAGCAAGGAGGACGACCCTGGGTAAGATGATCAACCCTCATTCACAAAGGCAAACTGGATGGAAATCAGAAGAGGGAGAAAACAGGAAACAGGCCAGGAGCCTACCACAGAGGCCTCTAAAAGACTCTACCCAGCAGTGAATCAAAGCAGATGCTGAGGTTCAGAGTCAAACTTTGGGCAGAGTGCAGGGAATCTTATGAAAGAAGGGGAGATAGAAAGACCTAGAGGGCATAGGAACTCCACAAGGAGAGCTACAGAACCAAAAATTCTGGGCCCAGGGTTCTTTTCTGAGACTGGTACTCTAACCAAGGGCCATGCATGGAGATAACCTAGAACCCCTGCACCAATGTAGCCCATGGCAGCTCAGTGTCCAAGTAAGGATTCACTAGTAAGGGGAACAGGGGCTGTCTATGACATGTCATGTCTATGACATGAACTCAGTGGTTGGCTCTTTGATCTCCTCCCCCTGAGTGGGTAGCAGCCTTAGTAGGCCACAGAAAAAGATAGTGAAGCTACTCCTGATGAGACCTGATAGGCTAGGATCAGATACAATAGGAGGAGCACCTCCCTATCAGTAGACTTGGAGAGGGGCATGGGAGGAGATGAGGGAGAGAGGGTGGGATTGGGAGGGAATGAGGGAAGGGGCTACAGCTAGGATATAAACTGTAATAAATATCAAAAGTGAATAAACTGTAATCAATATTAAAAAATAAAAAGAAAAAAATATCTCCCCAAAGAGCTAAGTTGCAGAGTTTTGTAGTGGTTGAGGAGCAATGTAATGTATCTATAAAGATGTAAGGGGCTAGAAACTGAGGAAAACCATGAGCCTTGCCAGTTACTAATGGGACCACCGTGGGAAGCAGAGCTTAGAAATAACCATTTCACAGGGCTGTGGTAAAGACCCACTGTCGAAAAGTCTGTGAGAGCTAGTGCTGCAGAAGTAGCTGCAGCCACAACATAGCTGCAGAGCAACTAAGAGCTGAACTTCACCTGTAGCTTCAGAGCTCTCATCAAAATCAACAAACTTACCATATGTATATAACCAAGCTACTAATGAACGATTTATTTTACAAACATGAATAATGAAAACATTACAAGCCTGCGTGGCATGTCTAACATTGTAGAGAAAGGAGTTTCCCTATAATTTAACAGATTTAAGATCATGATAACAACACAAAAATATAGAACATTTTTGTTATTAACATAATAAAATATAACTTATGTTTAAGAACTATCTGTGAAAAGCCCTTAAAGAAATCCCGAGTTAACCTATCATGATGATTATGAATAAATTCTACTGGCCAACACATAGAAATGTTTTTATTCTATATATGCCTCAATTTTTTAGTCAAAGTTTTGAGATACTGCATTAGTATATATAATCAATGTACCTCAAGATATTTTAATACATTTCTTATTTGTAGGTATATTAGAACAAAAACATATGTACTTCCAACAATCAGAAATCAGAAAAACATTTCCAAGTGAGTCAATCAATATTCACTGTGCATTGAAGTTTTTGCTTACATTATTACATGATCATAATACTCCATGAAGTATGAAGCTCTGACCCTGCCTTCCTACAAGACTATAGTGTGGAAGACGTTTAAGAGCATGAATTCACATCTTTGAGATGATAACGCTGTTCGTCAACAATGCTGTCACTGTTGTGCACAATGGCTCACATCTGCAATTCAGTACATAGGAGGACTGCCTCAAGGCAGGCTAGTCTGGGTGACAGAGTAAAAAGAGGACCAGTAAACTTCATAACATGTTTTACTTAATGAATCATTAAAATGGTAGAAGCCAGAAGGTGTTTAAAAATGCAAATAATAATTGTGTAAAAAAATTAAAAGAGGTTTATACTGACTCATTAAAACATGAAAAGTACAAATAGGAAAAGATTTTAAGAGAGGCCAGGACAAACAAGAGAGAAGGCTAAGGAATGGATGAAATTGGTGAAGTTTTAAAACCTGGTAGTTTCAAAAAACTATCAAGAAAAAGGATGTCACGGGGTAGAAGAAAATTATTGTAAAGCATACTGCTAAATATTTATATATAAAATATATAGAAAAATAAATAAATATATAAATATAACTTTACAAACTGATCATGAGATGAACAAAAGTGGACCAAAAACAACACAGAAGATATTGAAGTAACCAATGAGCACATAAACATAATGGCCAATACCATAAGCAATGAGGGAAATGAAAGCTAGAGCCACATTGTTCTTCCATTTCTCTACAGCAGGTCTTACCTGGACAAGATGTGCTGGCATTGTGATGATACAGGCTGACAGTGAGGATCTTAGAAGGCCACGGAGAACGTAGAGGAACTTGGTAACCCCATGACTATTGTCACAGTTCTCTGTACAGCAAATGTTATCTCCCCATAATGGTGAACCAAGGTTCTGAATTCCTATTCTTAAAATGTTTTTCTGTTTTTTCTAAAAGATAGTAGGAGGAGGCAAACACAGATACTGTTTATTAATATAGCACTTTTTTATTTGCTAGTCTTTAACTAAACTCAGTATCAGGAAGGCAATATTAATAGATGTGGTACAAACTGATGCACTTTTAGGAAGACGACAGTATACAGGACATGCTTTTGAGAAAAAGCATAAAAGAAAATAGAACAAAGCCAGTCTGCTACACCAACCGTGCAAACTACTTGGGATATTGGGGTAGATGAGTTGACTAAGGTTACCCATGGATGCCAATCCACCCTGAAACATTAAGTCTCTGTAAAACTAGGAGCATCCTTTCCCGCTGAGGCCAGACAAGACAGCCCAGTTGGGAGATGAGGGACCAAAAGGAGGCACCAGAGTCAGAGAGGGAGCGTTTGATCACTTGGTGTGCAAGCTTTTGTTTGCAGGGTGTTTACAACTATATTTTATCCTCGTCTCTAGTTTCTTCATGAACTTGTTTTTACTGATCTAATTTAAGTTCAACATTTTAAAAGTTAGCAGATGACATCTAGAAACTACTGACATTATAGTCAAAATAATGGTGCTCAATATGTTTTTTGGAAAAGAACATTTTAAAATCATTTAAAAAAAAGCAGAGATACTTGTCAGTAAGTATTTGACGACATATGTGTTTACAAGGTCTGCTGTTCGGGTTATTCTAACTGAACAAATGTTTTGTAAATGCTTTCCTGAGCAATCTAGAAACATTTCTGGGCATAAGAAAGAGGTGTTAACAAAACATGGAATATGCAAGTATTTGGAAGATCATTATTACATTTCTGATGCAATAAATAAGGTGTTCTTTCTTAAAGCCATGATTTCAGATATGTGACAGTTTAAACGAGCTTTCTGAGGAAACAGGTCCCTTAAACGTACCACTCACTGTTGCTATAAAATTATTAAACAATAATTATTACCCACTTTAGCAAACCTATTTTTCCAATAGAGAAGATTGAATCTGTGTATTCACTTTGTGAAGAGAATTTATTGACAAAAGGTAACAGTGCAAATGAATCTAAACATATGAAAACACAACAGGACAAAAGAAATAAGGAAGGGGAATAAAACAGATGAAGAGTCTGGAGTATGAAGTAGGTGTACGATTCTGAATACACAAAGTTACTTCTTGGTATCCCTAGGAGAACTCATTCTAGGGACTTCCTTGGATTCCAAAATTTATGTATATTTGAATATACACAGCAATGAAAAAATTACACATAACTCATATATATTTACCCATATACTTTGAATCACCTCTAGGGTAATGAATTATAATACACAATACAATATAAATGTAACATACATATAGTAGTTACACTCAGTCTTGTAGAGCCCTAGGATGGAGAAAATGAATATATTTAGTATAAATGAAAACTTTTCATCTATTTTAATGATATGATCTTGGCCTATGAAAAGCATTTACTTTGTATATCACCCAGAAAAACGAAGTGAAAACATGGCCAGGACAGATATTAGAAGCATGACTATGAGGGCTACAGAGAAGAGTCAGAGGTTGAGAGTGTGCGCTGGTCTTGAGGAGAACCCAACTTCTCTGCCCACATCCTCCATGTGTAGCTCACAACCAGCTACAATTCAAGACGTCTGATGCCCTACACATACACACACGCACACACACACACACACACACACACACACACACACACACGCACACACCCCAGACCCATGCATTAAAATGAGATAAATCTTACTACAATTATTAAAAAAAGAAGTACATGTGCGTTCCTCCCAAATTCATGTACAGTAGCTGTGAAAACTAAGAAGATACTTTATTACTTAGATTTTAAATAAATAAAAAAAAAATGGTAAAAACGTAAGGCCTGTCTTGTAATTTCTAAACTTATGATAATAGGCCTAGTCAGATTCTCAATAGAGAGAATAGGGAACTAGAAATATGGAGTACAAGATGGAGACATGGCTCAGTGGCACAGTACTTACCTAGCATGTGCAAGGCCCTGGGTTCAAATCCCAGCACAGCCTTGCCAAAACAAGAAAATAGAACCTTACTGAAAACAAAAACTAAGGGACAGATAAAATAGAGATATGAGAATGAAATGTGAAAGTAAAGGAGAGCAGTGTCCATAAATAAGAGATCACTTTAACAGATGTCACTACTGCCTATTACTGCAGCAGAAAAACTTGCTAAAATGTGTAAAAATGCTATTAGACATGGAATAAAGGGTTATAAATGGTAGTGACTTTGACATATACTATGTATATATATTAACATACATACATAGAATGAATGAAAAGACTGAAAAATAGTGAATGAATTATAAGATCCCTGAGTTCTTGCTAATCAGCACAGCAAAATAAGAATAAGCATAATACTTCAACACAAAGAATATATTTTAATAAATATAGTAGCAATTGGAGAATCAAAGCTGAATATCTTGTGCTTTCTCAGATGTTAGTTTTTAAAATATAAAATGCAGCTGATAGTTATACAATAAATAAATTTATTCCCATAAAATATCTAATATCGAATTTAGCATGTTAAGTAAAAAAGTTAATGTTCAAATTTCATTTTTATATATTCCTTAATTATTTGACATTCAAAATTTAAAAACAAATAATATTATGAGCAATTTTTAAATGTTTCCACCCAAACATATTTATAGATGAGCTACATAATTTAATTTACTATTAAGGTTAATTATAGAAAATTGATTATAATAGTCTATTTTTACAGAGTATATTTTAAATGTTTTATCCAACTATTTCAATTTATTTGAAAGTGGATTGAAGATAAAAACTCCCATTTAAAAGCAGGATTCACTTCAAGGTCAGAATATTATTTTGACTCAAGAATATCACTTAGGGGGCTGGAGAGATAGCTCAGAGGTTAAGTGCACTGGATGTTCTTCTGAAGGTCCTGAGTTCAATTCCCAGCAACCAGATGGTGGCTCCCAACCATCTATAGTGAGATCTAGTGCCCTCTCCTGGAATGTGGCAGAATATTATATAAATAAAAAAAAAAAAAAAAAAAAGAATATCACTTAAAGAACTATTTGCCTTTCCTGAACTTGTCTGCAGTTTTTGAGACAAATGAATAGAGCAGGGGATGTAACAAGCAACCTTCATGATTTAATAACTTATTAGCTATACTTTATTTAGTTCAAAGACATGGGAAGTTTACTTTTATAATGACTTATTGGTATGTTTAAGTTTAATTTGGAAATTTTACGCATTTTTTGGTATTCATTATAGATATTTTTACCTCAGTTTTGTCCAGTCTTTACAGAGCCTTGCGTGGTCAGAGAACTGAACACACTACATTTTATTTTCTATCAATTTTCAAGATCAAAACAATTGTTTCTTGAAAGTGGCATGCTTTTTCAATACCCAAATAAAAAAAGGAAAAAAAAAAAAAAAAAAAAAAACAATGTTCATTTTGTTTCAACATGAGGTTACTTACTAAAAATTCTTAGGTTTGTTTCTAAGGTGCATACATACATATTCCTTGCAAAAGAGTAAAGCTATTCTTGTTACTTTTTTGCGTTTTATAAATTTTTTGCTTTCAGAAGAGGTGTCATCATACTGCAAAAGCAGCAGCTCTGCACACCGCACCATAGGAACTGTTATGACATGCCTGTTTCCATAGCTACCACTGCAAGTGGGGAAAGGTGTCTGTCAGGGACCAATTTGCCTCTCCAGATGCACACTGGCACCAAAAGAAGATATGGCATCCATAAATCTTAGCTAGGACCAAAAATTTCAGTTAGAAGGAGTGAATAATACCAGCGGTCACTACAAAGACTATGGAAAACATTAAAAGCCATCTATAAATACATGCTTTCTAGATACACATGTTTTCAGCCTGCTGTTAAACTAGCAATCAAAAACATTTTAAAAATTATTTATTTTGCCATAAAGAAATTATTAAATATAGCAAGTATATTGATATATTGATAAAAAAATTGAAAACTATAAGTTAACATCAAATGTAGATCGAGATGCCAAAATTTAGTTTCTAGCTTCTTTGCTTTCATTAAAATATGCTGTGAAGTTAAACTAATTAAAATAACATATATTAAATTAATAGAATAATAATAAAATAATACAAGTCTTTTAGTGTCAAATGCAATTAATATCACTGAGAAAAATCTTTAGAAGGTAAGATGTTTAACAAAATTTCTTCATTTGTTTAAATTAAACTAAGCGGAACATCTTCAGTAGTGGGAATTTGGAGAAAGAGTAAAATTAAGAGATACAGAGAAAAGTTATGGTATAAGATAGAGGAAAAACATTTCTTTTATTCGATGAAACAATAAAAAATGTAATGTAACAAGGCAGAAAATCTTGTGATAATTCTTATACATAAGGCAATTTGGAATTAAGATCTGAATGACAGAAATATGAACATGTTAAATACAAAAAGATGAACCTTGTAGTATTATAAGTAATTTAAAAAGCATAACTACTTATTAATCTCAGAAGCTAAAGATATTTAAGGACAATTAGCATGGCCAAAGCATGTGCTGATTTTGTGTGCACCCTGAGACCTAGTTAAAACTCTAAGTATGCACGAATACTTTCTACTCAGTCACACTGTCTGTGAAGTCAGGTTGCACTTATTGATTTTTAGCCGGCTCTTTAAGCCTACCCCAGAGATTTGAAAACAACACTCTTTATAAAAAGGCTTTGGAAGTACTCATACCTGGGGATTAGCTCCATCAAATCCTTCAGTATAAATGATGTTCTGAATGAACTGAAGCAGCTTCTTGTAGCCCCAAGACAAAGAACTGTTGGTAAGAAGAGGTTCAAATACATAAATGGGCCTATTACATAGGAAGTAAAATATCTACTGTATAACATTAAGTAAACAAAAATATGAATTTATTAGTATTTAAATATAAAAGAAAATGCATCAAATTAATGTCAGTCAATCTAAAATATGAAGCCAGTATGTAAAAAGGAAGTACGTTACATCATCTTCTAGTAAATTGCTCAGTTTTTGACATTATGGGAAGATAAAAATCTGTGGAGACTGAGATGACTTAATTATGTCAGGCTTAGTTACCTTGAAGAAAATTAACGATTTAATGAAGCAACTTAAAAGATGAAGCCATCGTAGCTTTTCAGGAGTAATCATACATAATTAACACATAGTTAATGAACTGCTATGCCACACACTCCCAAATCAATGTTCTGATCACCTGAACTCATCTTCCATCAAAGTTTTAATTTTCTTAGAACAAACTGCTAAAATAATATTAACTTAAGAATTTGAATTTTTAGGGCACATGAAGGCAAATATACCATAATCCATTCTGAGTTTACCCATTTCCTTTGTTAAAAGAAGATACAAAAATAAATGCATGGATTTAAGAAGACATCCTAAATTATTTCTCATATGATACTAGCATAGTCTATTACTTTAAAAACAGTAAAATGAATGTTTAAGGTGCACTTGGGTTTAGAAAGAACACTTGAGCTATCTCCCTTGTAAGTGTTGGGAGATGTTTCAGGGAAGAGTAAGAATGAAGAAAACCTGCCTCCTGAGCAGAGTGAAGAAGCGCAGCAACCCATGTGCTTATTCTGCAACAGCAACAGAACTTAATTCAGCAAAAATACACGTACATCTCTGTACATGTGTGTGCTCCTGAACAGCTGCTGCTGACTTCAAAGTCCCTATCTTGCAGAAACAGAGCTAGCGCAAGAAAAGAAAGGTTTTCTGTACAAGACTGGAGACGAAGGGCCTTGCATCATATGGGTATGTTTCCATGTAGTTACCGCTTCCTTTCAGGGACAACACGGGCTGCACAGACATGGTTTTCTACTTTTATGTGAGGAACACGTTTATAAATAACACTGTGTAAGGGCAATCCTTTGAGAGTGTCCTGTCTTGGTACATATTTGTTCTGGATAGCCAACTTTCAGAATACAGTGTTATAGTGTGAATGCAGTAGATGCAATTCTTATCTGGGCCAATTAGCTTTATTCAGGGGTCTAGATCTGCTCCAAGATCCCAGATTAGGAAATACATTGCCGCTACCAATTTGATGAATCTCACTATGAGTTGAAGAAGAGCATATGTACATCCAATCCCCCCTAATGCATTAACAAAGCCCCTAAAAAGTCCTCCAGTTTCATCTGTTGCAGAATACAGGATGCTTTTTCAAGGTAAAGTAGTACTCTGGTACATGTTTGTGTGTATACCACATTTTCTTCACTTATCTGTTGACAACACAGGTTGGTTCTGTATATTGGCTGTAGTGAAAAAGAATACAACACGAATTCACACTTCCTTAGATTAAGTACATGAGTAGCACTATTAGAATGGTTCAACTTTGAATTTTGTGATAAACAATCATACTCCTTTCTACATCTACCAATATCATACAAAGATTTCTTTCTCTACATTTTCAACAATACCCTTAACCATGTTGATAATAGCCATCAATAAGAGTTGTAAAAGGAACATATCACAGGGGTTTTAATATACATTTCTAGTAATTAATACTATTTGAGGTTTTTTTTTTTTTTTTTTAAATAGATCTGTTGTCTACTTGTATGTTGTTTTTAGAATAACATCTACTCAGGTCCTATGCCTGATTTTAAAGTCAATTTTCTTTGCCATTGAATTGTCTGTGTCCATACAAACTTGAGATATTACTCATATGTGCGCTCTTTCTCTTTCATTTTGTGCCTTATTTCTTAGACTGCCCCTTTATCTTGTTCACTGATTTTGGAGAATGAAATTGAAGGAAAAAACCCAATATATCTTAATCACTTTCCTTATTTAGTATCAACATAAAATAATCCAGTAGCCAATGAAGCTAAGACCTTTTTAAGCAACATGATAAATTTCCTGAATTGAAATACTTAGAAAGTAAATATTTTTTCAAAAATTAAGCTGAAAAAGAAATATTTATGCAAACTAATTACTAATATTAATTTCTGAATGAATGAGAGGAGAACATTTAAAATGGGATTTATGCTTTATTAAAATACTAAGCACTATTAGTTACTACACATTGCTGTTCAATATTTACAAAAACATATATAGATATTGATAAAAATAAGAATCTTTTATTTCCATTGGAAACTTTGGCTTTATTATTGATTCTTCAGTGTTGAGAAATCTTATGCTGTGTGTACGTTTGTGTGTATGCATGTACTTGTGCGCTTGTGTCTAGTGACAGGAGTTTACAAGAATAAAATTTATCCACAAATATGACCCTGGCTTTGCTATTACTGTTTAAAAACATTTTGTTTGTCTATTTATTTTAAATCTATATGTGTGTGTATATCTATATCTATATCTATATCTATATCTATATATATATATACATATATATATACATATATATGTGTGTGTGTATATATATATATTTGAGTAAGTTCAGATGTGCTTGTCACAGTGAGTGTGTGGCACTCAGCGGACAGCTTTACCCACTGAGCCATGTCCCCAGACCCTGGTTCCAAACATTTAACAAAGTTTTGACTACTTCAAATATTTAAAGGCTGCTCTAAAGGCATCCACTTTGAACCACAAACACTATTCTGCTTTACTTTTGTGGTTTTCAACAATTTTTATATTAAAGTGAGCTAACCTCAGTTCTCTATGCTTAAAGCTATCACAATTTTTAGAAATATCAACTATACAAATAGTTATTTAAACTAACTTCTAAGATTTATTTTTGTATTTGTAACAGTTTTGCCTGCATGTGCATGCCTGTGCCTGAGGAGGTTAGAAGGCGACACTGGATTCCCTGGAATTAAAGTTTATAGATGATTGTGAACTTCCATGGAGTTGTGTGAATCAAATTCTGGCCCTCTGCAAGAGCAACAAGTGCTCTTAGCCACTCAGCTGTCTCTCTAGCTCTCGAACCTTAAAATTCCAAGTAGTTAAAATTATCTTTAGTTTTACAAAGGGGGGGGGGGAAAACTTGGGCAATAGGAGAAAGAAAAATTTATCTTTAAAAGATGTTTTTCTATAAAATAAATTAGAAAAAGAAAATTTTGTACAAAGTTAAAATAAATAAATAGGTGAGGAGTGTACAGACAGAAAGCCAACTCTCAGTAGACTGTTTAGTAAGCCTACCTGATTTTAGTCAAACCAGTTGACAAAGTGCTTGGTATACACTGGACACTGGACACTGGTGTCACAGCATTTGATGAATACAACGACCTTGTGATATAAGGACAGCTGTAGAAGGAATCTGTTGTGTATTCTATGGATGCAACACCTGTCAAAAAAACCTATGGACTATAAGTGAGGCAGGAAATAGGTGGGACATGCGGCAGGCAGAAAGAATTCTGGGATAGAGCCAGTCAAGGGAAATTTAGCCACCAAGATGTGAGGAAGATGGATGCATGGTGCCTGAATGCAGGTAACCAGCCACATGGCAGAATTTAGATTAGTATAATGGGTTAATTTGAATTATACGCCAGTCAGAGAAGAGCCTAGTTATATGGACTAGGTATTTGTAAATAATCATAAGTCTCAGAAGTAGTTATTCTGGGAGATAAGGGATGGGAGGCCATCTCCTACTACAGTCAGTCATTATCTTCATTTTGTGGTTGGGAAAAGCAATATACGTTATAGGATAAACAACCGGTCCAAGGTTATATGTCATTAAGTGATAGAACTGACATATAAAGTGAAAATATTTGCTGTGCATGGTGGTACATGCCTTTAATCTCAGCATTGAGAGTCTGAGGCAGGCAGACCACTGTTGAGTTTGAAGCCAGCCTAGTCTACATAGTTTCAAGCTGGCCAGGGCTACAGAGGACATGTTTCAACACAAATAAATCAAAACAAAGAAACTTGAGAACAGTCTAAAGCTGCAATCAATTGCTCATTCAACTACAGTATGTTAACGCTCCTGAGAGAGGTGCATGGACAGTCTCTGGTTCACACATACTACTGTGGTTAACAGGAACTTTGAGTGTGATTCCGATTCCATTCAACACATTAAATGAAGCAGATCTTTAGCTGTACCCACGAAATCTTAACCTACACTCCTTGGTTGTATGTAAGTTGGAGTGTGATAAAATAATGGAAACTTTCTTCTGAACAGTTCAGGTTTACACATTGATAACTGAGCACCACCATCTCACAGCAGGAATTTGCCAAGTACCTGTGCCAGCAATTCAGCTCAAGGTGTGACACAGGCAACTTTTTAAAATTTCTTCCTGCCTCTTGTCTACTTTGATGTTAAAATTATATGGTTCAAGATTGAACTATATAAAAGTAATTTGTTTAGTTTTTAAAAATAAGAAACTCAGGGCACTTAAATATTTGTTTAACAACCTAATAGAAATATTTAAACAAGCAAGCAAGCAAGCAAGCAAGCAAGCAAGCAAACAAACAAACAAACAAACAAAACCCCAAAGCCTTATAGAAAATTAAGAATTGTCATTCTCAGTCAGGCCCAGTGGCACATGCCTTTAATCCTGGCACTAAGGAAGCAGAGTCAGGTGGAGCTCTGAGTTTGAGGTCAGCCTGGTTTACAAAAAGTCCAGGACAGGCAGGGCTTGCCTCACAGAGAAACCCTGTCTCAAAATCTAAGAAAAAAAGAAGCAATTCTCAGAAAGTTATCAGCCATAATTATAACCGATTAAAATAAAGATGAAGCACTTTTGGACATTATTTTGAAAGCCAATGGGAAAATAAAATTTATCTTAGCAAAGTTCTATTTGCATTTATATGGTAAGGATTCAACCATGACAAATAGTAAGAAACATTTTAAAGGCAATAGGCACAATATACATCTTAACTAATTGTGTAAAATAC